CGACTGGAGTACCAGAGGCAGAAACGTGAAGCAGAAGAGAAGGCTCGGGCAGAGACTGAGGAGAGAAGGCAGAAGGAAGAGGAAGCAGCTAAGCTGGCTTTGGAGGAAGCCATGAAACAAGATCAGGAACAAGCCAGGTACTGGTATTTGGGCAATGATTGAGTAGGGGGATTGTTCAAGGGCTTAACTGCCTGGTGCTAGTGTTAGTACTGCAATTGCACGAAGTCCTCTTCCCACCCCTCAACCCCAGCCAGCATGGTTTGGAAAACTAAAACACAAAGAGTGATTCTTTGGCTGGAAACATCATGGGATTCCTTCATAGCTTACAAAACTTATAATAAGCTGAAATGGGACTTTAGAGACCATTAATCCGAATCTTCCGGTTTAGAGATGAGCAAGTCAAGTCCAAGGGCTGAGAGTATGTAGTTCAGTGGCACTACAGAGCACTTGCCTAACATGCTTTGGCCCTGTTTGGATCCCCACCACCAAAAGAGAAGGAAAGTATGTCCCAAAGAAGGGAAAGATCTTGATCAGGGCCGACCAATGAGTTAAAGACAGTGCCAGGATAAGATCTAAGACCAACCGGCTGATTATGAATCCACTGCCTTCCTCAATAAATATTTATTGAGATTATTGTGTAACTTCTGGACTCCGGGAATTCAGGAATAAGCAAGGCAGACAAGGTATCTTCCATGGCATAGGTCGGGGTGGCAAAACAGACTAAAAAAAAGAAGAAGAAGAAAAAAAAAAACCTTTATTTGTTTAAAGCTAGCAACAAATGCTATTCAGAAAACATTTAAAACATGTGATAGGATTACAGGAGCTTATTTCAGACTGTTTGGCCAAAGTAAGATATAAAGTGAGATCTGCAGGACAAGGAGTTAATCACATAAACATCTAGGAGGAAAATATTTCAGCAGGTAAACAGTAAGTGCAAAGGTCTGAACAAAGAAATGAGAATAAGGTATTGAAGAATAAGGCTATAATGAAGTTAATAGGGGACAAAGAACACTTCCAAATGAAGTCAGAGAGAAAGGCCAAGATCAAATCTAAAGAGAGCCTTATTAGAAGAAATAGCACCAAACTCCTTAAGAGCCAAGGACATTTTCCCCCTTTATTCTGCAATAGTGATCAATCCATCTTTCTGATAATAGGATTTGAGTAATGTGGTTTCAATACTCTTTTAAAAGTAGGTCCTCTGTAGTTGCTACACTATGTCCCTTTCTTAGTGAAAGCAACTAATAGTCATTCCTTTTGAGAATTATAAAAACCGAAGGGTAAAAATCAATCAATCTATCTTAAGGATAAAGAAGTACAATCCAGAAAATCATTTGATTCCAAACTAAACGGTAAACACTTCTCCCCCTGAAATGCATTTTCCACAACTTAAGCTGACTCTAAGACAATAAATACTCTTTAGAGGACCAAAAGAGAAGGCAGCCAGAACAACTCTTGTTTTAAGAATTTCCACTAACCTTGAGTTGTTCCTCTCCTGGATGTTCTTCAGATATTATGTGAAATCTACAAAATAGATCATTAGCAAAGCCTGATTCAGCTTCAGAAATATGGATTCCGTGTATCATAACACCAGGGTTGGGGTCATAGCAGCAGTACTGAGACCAAAAGCAAGCTACTGGAGCTCCAACTTTCCAAGAAAAGAAAACTGACAGTCATTGGAGGGGAAGTGGAAAATTTCACAAGTCAGCTAGTCCAAGTAGCTCACAGCAAGAAACCAAGTAAAGTACCAGACCAAGGGGTGGAGGCCCACTTCACCAAGGATTACAACTTAATGCCAGCTGACTTTATTTTACCTTTTATCAACTTATAAGGACAATTTCTAGGGTGATCAATCATTATTGAAATTGGGGTTGGGGTTGTCTCCTTAGGCAAAAAGCTGCTTTGGAAAAACATCTTCATTTCCATCGAGAACTACAGAAGGAAGCCAGAGGCCTGCAGTGGACACAGAACATTTCCAGACCATGGGTTTACTCTTATTTCCAGTTCCTACAAATACCCAGGCTATAAGGATAAAAGAAAGCTTTAAAAAAGTAAGTTGAGAAGCAGTGATGGAAAAAAGAGAAACTTCTTTTCATAATAAAGTTCCGCCCTCAGCCCAATTAGTTCCATTTCTCCTGGTTAACCTCAATCCAAAACTAAGGTCTTCTCTACTCCAAAACAACCATTCCCACCCTAACCTCTGCACCAGATACCTCATTCAACCCAATAAACCCTTTGCCTACTTAACACTTTATTTTCTCTAGACCCAACTAAATCCAAAACCTTTGATGCCTGGAACTGCCCATAATTCCATAATTTTAGTTTGAAACACTTTGTGTAGTCTTAGGATATTCAATGTATTTCATTTCAGCCAATGTATTTTAGTAGAGTTGTAGGTTAATAGAGAATCTGTAATTCGAATAATTCTGAATTAGCCAAGAGGAGCTAGTTCATTTATTTATATATTAAGAAATCCCAACATAAGGCAAAAACCATGATCTTTTAATCCAAGAATCCAAAATTAACTGTCTATTCAGAACAAAGTATGTTTGTGTTGGTCATCACTTGTTAAATGTTCATTTAAACAAGATGACCTTTTTGTGAATCAATTCTCACATGCCACTTTTCAAGTACTCAATGGCCACAAGACTACTGTAGCTAACAGCTAAGCGGTAGAACACTTCCAACATGACAAAAAGTTTTTGTTATTTTGATCCCTGAAAATTAACAAATCTTGAGATTTTGTTTCTGTGCGTGGACAAATCAACCACTCACAAAATTTTAATAATCACACAGACTCCAAAAGGAAGTTTTGAGGGGATAATTTATCTTAAATATTTTTTTTCTTTTCCCACCCTACGGTACTAGGGATTGAGCCCCAATCATTTATAATTTTTCAGACAGGGTCTTGCCAAGTTGCCGAGGCTGGCTTCGACTTTGCAATCCTACAGCTTCAGTCTCCCACGTTGCTAGGATTATAGGCATGTGCCATCACATCAGATAACATCTTTTTATATCTAATAGAACATCCCTTTTAAAAAAAAGTGATCTATCACAAAATCATCATTAAAAGTTATGAAAGAGCTTTAGAAACAAGATGTATAAAAGGATGTTCAATCAACCCAGAATCTAAACCTGCATTTTCTCACAAATTTCCTTTGACCCTACTCTATACTTCACTGTCCACAAGTGAAAAACTTAATATTCACAAGTTATTCCCTCTGATTTCTGATTAATGCTCAGGTATTTGCTTTCTATATGCATTACACCTCTACAACCCAGAAGTTAATTTGGATTCTATATTGCTAAATTATGTACTTGCTTAGATCTAATGTGTACTTCAACTCCTTGTTTTATAGAAAATAGCCAACATACTAAATAATATCACAGTGAATTTGAACACGTCATTTAAATTTTTTCTCGGGCTGGGGTTGTGGCTCAGTGGTAGAGTGCTCGCCTAGCATGCATGAGGCACTGGGTTCAATCCTTAGCATCACATAAAAACAAAATAATGTGTCCACCTAAAACTAAAAAAATATATAATTTTTTTATCAAGCTTGTTGACCCTATGTGCACAATCACTTCACTCAATATTAAGTACTCAATCAGATAAGAGTATCTCAAACAATTCAACCAAGAACATAAGTATTAACACTCAAGGAAAACACCTTTGTGGGGAAAATTATCATTACTGACTTTATTTTCTCCCTTCTTTTACATGTAGGATGTTACAGCCAAGCACCAGCTAATGTGGCTACACTAAATGTGATTCAAAGTCCCTTTCAAATATATTCTTATTAGATTCTTACTGTGAAGCACCTATTTTATCAGCACTACTTCAACAAATAAGCACATTTTTAAGTTGAACAGCAGAGTGCAGTGCATTTAGAAGAATCCAATAAACTAAAAACAAAATTACTTTTAAAGTAAGTTCTACTATCTAAACGTTGAGAGCCTTCAGATGTGTAGAAATGCAAACAAAATTAAAATATAAGATTAGGACTGAGGCTGGGGCTCAGCGGTAGAGCTCTTGCCTCGCATGTGTGAGGCCCTGGGTTTGATCCTCAGCACCACATAAAAATAAATAAAAATAAAGGCATTGTGTCCATCTACAACTACAAAAATTTTTTTTTGTTTTAAATATATATAAGATTAAATGCTCATGTATTCTGGATGGCTCTAATAGCCAATCAGATCTGTTATTCAATCTTGACAGAAACAACTCATAAAGATTCTCTAAAAACGGGCCTAATTCCAGTCACTAATGAATACAATGATAAAAGCCAGGAAGATCTAAATTACATACAAATAACTTTTCAGTTAGGGTCAAATATTAAACATTTTTAATATCAAGTCAATCTATTTTTCATCTAGTGACTTGAATAGAGTATATAAGCTATGATTGTTTATAAAAGATTGGTTTTATTTGCTCTTTTTAAGTAGTCAGATGACACTAGGATAACATGAAACTGGATTGTATGTATGCACAGATATACTGAATTCTGTATTCATGAGTTAAAAAAAAGAAGTTAGGCACTCTGAAATGAACAAACTAATATGGTATTTTAATTTTACACACAGTTTTATAGATTTAATATATAAAGAAATAAAAGGAAAATATAAACAAAATATACCAAACCTTAACTAAGCAGAGTTAAAGGGAACACTAAAATTATCAATATAAATCAATTTCAGAACTTTTGGCGTGCCCACTTGTTCAACATGATTGGGTAACTATCATATATATGCACCATACAGGAATATCAAATTTTTAAAAAACAAATCACTGAGTTTTTAAAGAGATATTTTAGCCTTAATTAAATCTTTGATTTAGAAGGCACTTCAATAACTTCCAGTGCTTCAAAGTCATTAACATCATCACTATACAGTACTGAAGAAATATTTGTATGATGTGCAAATAATTTCCAGTATTATGCAAGAAAACCTTATTTTAGGCATTTTCTTTTTTCTTTCCTATACAATTAAAATAAAATAAACATTAGTAAGGTTTTTACAAATATTGTTTATTTTAATGAAGCTGGTACAGACAATGTCCATTTAAAACCCATATCCCAGGCCAAAAGTACAAATAAAATCAAAGGAGCAGTGTTCGGTTGTATACACTTCTGCATGAATAACTTTATTAACTGCTAATGAAAATTAGAACTTTTCCGGGATCTTCTGACTTTTTTTTTTTTTTTTTTTTTTAATCTTAAAATGCTTTCTCTTCAGTGAAGCCATCTTTGGAGTTAGTCGTTACTCTCACCATGTCTGTTCGTCTTGACTCCAAAGCTGATATTCCTCCTCTTTTGGTCCAGACCCCCAGATTTTAAAAGTAGCATCAGGTTAAGGAAAGGTCATTTTCCCACAGTTCAGTTCTCTGAAAAACTTCCATCTCCCACTGAAAGTCACAGTCCAGGAGTGAAGCAGTCACATGCTAGAACTTCAGGGCCAACTGGAAAGTCATTATATAGACACTCACATTGGTCGATCTTATTTACCACCAAAAGCCTGAAAATGCACAGTCCTGAAAAAGGTGGCCTCTCTGTTTACACGTGTAATTTTTTAAAAGGAGAGGGCAATATGAAGGGAGCTGAGGTTTGATCACCAAAAAATCAGCACAATGAAAACAAACAATAATGAATAATGAGCACTAGAATTCAAATTACCAGATGTTTTAAAGAGATGGGTGCCAGTTCTCAATTCCATTTGAACACCACATTACAAAAGAACTATTTTTAAAAATAAAAAAGGATTGAGGGAAAAGAAAAAAAAATAAAAGAATATCTAAACCGTTGAATGACCCCCTGTTTGTTCCTGATAAACTTCAATCACATCTTCTTCCTCCATTCCCAGCTGTAAAAAGAAAAATGTTAGTAGAATATTAAAGCACTATTTTTAAACTGGCTACAATTATGTGGCCACTATTTTAAAGTGCAAAAAGATACAAAAATGATCTATACTTAATTATACTCTTTCTAAGATTAAGAATCCTGTTTCCTGGGGCTGCAGTTGTGGCTCAATCACAGAGCGCTCACCTACCACATATGAGGCACTGGACCACATTAAAAAATAAAGGTACTAAAAAAGATAAGGGCTGCAGGTGTGGCTCAGTGGTTAAATGTCCCTGAGTTCAATCATCCCTGGTACCGAAAAATTTTAAAAATTAAAAAATTTTCAAAAAAAAAATCCTGTTTCTTAATCTAAAGAACATAGAGGTATACCTTTACTTCTGGTTCTATGCCTATATAGTCATTCATTTTGCTCTGAGTCAATTTTACTTCCTAGTTTATTTACTATATAAAACTCAAGTGGGGCTGGGGCTCAGCGGTAGAGCGCTCGCCTAGCATGTGTGAGGCCCTGGGTTCAATCCTCAGCACCACATAAAAACAAATAAATAAAGGTATTGTGTCCAACTACAACTAAAAAATAAATATTTAAAACAAAAAAACCCTCAAGTGTTATTAACAGGTTAAAGAAGTTTTAAATCTAACAAGACATGTACTTAATAGTCAGATAAAGTTTGATGGCTTATTTTCTAAAAAGCATTTCACTTTTAGCTGTAATTACTGTAGAATTTCACTTCTTCCAAAAACTTGATTTCACTTTGAAATATATATGGTTTTAAGGCTGGGCACAGTGGCACCCACTTGTAATCCCAGCAACTCAGGAGGCTAAGACAGGAGTACTGTAAGTTTGACAACAGCCTTAGCAACTGAGTAAGACCCTGCCTTAAAATAAAAAGGGCTGGGAATGCAACTCAGTGGTAAAGCACCTCTGGGTTCAATCCCCAGTACCAAAAGAAAAGAAATAAAGGGGGAAAAAAAAAAAAAAAATATATATATATATATATGGTTTTAGTTAGAAAAATACTGCCTAAGGATTATTTCTAAATGGTTTGCCTTGTCACCTACAGTTCCTTCAAGTGTATAGCTATTATTTTTTTCAATAGTGATCACTCTCAATGCAGAAAGCTTACCTAGACATCTAACACTTATTTAATGTCTCCAATTTTACAAGCAAGATTTTTCAGCCCATTCATTTTTAATTCTTGCAGGGAAAAAGAGGATCTTCAAAATGCCTTTATAAGCCAAGGTTACACACCTAGAATCCCAGCAACTCAGAAGCTGAGACAGGAGGATCATAAATTTAAGGCCAGCCGTCAACTTAGCAAGACCCTCTCTCAAAATGAAAGTGGGGATTGTAGCTCAGTGGTAGAGTGCCCCTGGGTTCAATCTCTAGTACTGGGGGCAGAGGGAGTTAACATCATCAATAAGGAGCTTCATGTACTTTAGATAAAAATACATGTAATCATTATATAATATTCCAGTCAAAATTACACTGCCTGGGATCTAAGCATGAGGAAACAAACAAACCCAAAGTGAAGGGTTGTCTACAAAATAACTGCTGTGTAGTCTCCAAAAATGTCAATGTATGAACCATGTGTGGTGGTGCATGCCTATAATACCAGCTACTTAGGGTCTGGGGATATAGCTCAGTTAGTAGAGTGCTTGTCTCGCATGCACAAGGCCCTGGGTTCAATCCCCAGCACCACCAAAAAAAAAAAAAAAAAAAAAAACCAGGAGGCTAGGGCTTTGAGGACTTCAAGTATAAGAAGTCTGGGCAATTTAGGGAGACCCTGTCTCAAAATAAAAATTTAAAAAGGTTGGGGATATAGATCAGTGACAGATTGCCTATCTATGCAAAATGCCAGTTCAACTGCCAGTACTGGGGCGAGGGGCATCCCTCAACGTATGAAAAGACCAAAAAGACTAAGAATTGCTCCAAATTAAAAGATTAAAAGGGACACCTAAATAAAATAGCTGGTACTGAACTGGATCCTATCACAGGCGAAAATTTTGTTATAAAACATAACTGGGATAAATGGCAAACTGGGTTGTAGATAAAAAATATTCTTAAGCTTAAATTTCCTAAATTTGATTAATAGTACTATGGTTATATAAAATAATACACTTTTTCTTAATAAACAAACTGAAATTTTAAGAAGCAAATGGCCATGGTGTACACACTACTCCCAAATGGTTTAGTGAAGGGAAGGTGAAAAATAAACATGCACATCTGGATCCACACATATACAAAAAGGGAGAGAGAAAGATGAAACACAAGTCAAAAAATGTTAAAAATACATGAATCTAGGTAGAGAGTATATATGAATTTTATGTACTATTCTTGCAACTTTTCTTTTTTCCTCCTCCCTAACCTCCACCCCACACAGGTACTGAGGATTGAGCCCAGGAGCCCCCCTACCTCTGAATTACATTCCCAGCCTTTTTAAAATTTTATTCTGGGACAGGTTTTTCACTAAACTTCTGAGGCTGGCCTTGAACTTATGATCCTCCTGCCAGTAGCTGGGCTTACAGGTATATACCACTGTACCTGGCTCTTGCAACTCTTCTGTAAGTTGAAAATTCTTCCATATATATATATAAAAACCAAAAAGAAGAAATTTCAAAAAGGACACAAGTATTCCTGTGTTAAACTAAAGAAACTCCCACTTACCAATAGCTAAAGGCTATTCACAAAGTTACAAAGCATCTCCCCAGATTACTTATTAATTACAAGGAAAAAATAACTTTATAGTAGATAAATCTGGCAGTTATCACTTTAGCCAAGTGATCAAAGTTAACATTATCTATAATTGTACAGACATCACATATCTCCTGATGTGATACACTCAGGAATATACAGCTTCACTCTGTTTGACATTCCCACCAAAAAGGCAAAACTATATCTAATCAAGAAGAAACTCTAGACAAACTCAAATTGAAGGACTTTCTAAAAAGGGAAGATGGTCTAAACTTTTTAAAAATTGTTAGTGTGACAAAAAATAGAAAGGAAAAGAAAAATGAGAAAATATTTCAGATTAAAGAAAGTTATAGAGGTATGCTGACCAGTTAGAATGCATGTCCTGAATGAATCTGATAAAAATATGACCATAAAAAGACCTTACTAGGAAAAAAGACAAATCTGACTACTTTAACTGTAGAGTCAATAAAAATACTATATCAATGTCAAATCTCCTAAATTTAATAAGTAAATGATGGCTCTTAAGAGATTAACAACCCGGCATGGTAAGGCTGAGACAGAAGGATCTCAAGTTCAAGGCTAGCCTGGGCAATTCAGCAAGACCCTGTCTCAAATGAAAATAAATTTTAAAAAGGTCCAGGGACGTATCTCAATGGTAGGGTACACCTGGGTTTAATTTCCAGTTCCAATAAATAAAAACAAGAAAAGAGATAATATTTAGGGGTAGGGCTATGGTATCTGTAACTTAATCTCAAGTGGGTCAACAATAATATGTATATACAGAAAGTGACAAAGTAGACACAGCACAATGTAACATAACTGATGATATAGGGAAGGGTATTCAGTAGCACTGTATTACATACACTATCTCACAATTCTATAAGTTTGAAACAGTTTAAAAGTAAAAATTAATAGTAATGATACATCATTCCTACCATCAGAAATATCAGAAATGTTATTTTGTATATGAAGAGGGAGATAAACATATATACATAGATTCAAATGCACACTTTACTTTGAGATACCTATTTGAGGGGAGTGGAACATATAAGCAAATGAAATAGTCCATACAATAGAACAACTAAATGAAAACACAGAAGCAAAAAAAAACACACATAAAACAAGAAAACAGAGTCAACCAATCTTAAAATGAGTCAAATATCAGAATCCAACTTTTAAGGTTAGCCTCACCATAAATGAGTATCAGCAATCTGCCAAATTAAAGGAATATTTATCCATCTTCAAAAGTTTTAATAATGCCTTATGATAATTTCAGTATTCAATCCCTGATGCTACCTACCTTTATTGACTTTTCTTTGTGTGTATATGTTGGGGATGGTGGGGATAGGTGACACAGGGGGTGATCTAACACTGAGCTTTATCCTGTTTTTTTTTTTTTTTTGTGGTGCTGGGGATTGAACCCAGGGTCTTGTGCATGTGAGGCAAGAACTATACTGAGCTATATCTCCTGCACTATCCTCTTTAATTTTTTATTTTGAGATAGAATCTAGCCAAGTTGCCCATGTAGCTTTGGACTTGTGATCCTCCTGCCTCAGCCTAGAATTTCAGGCATGTACCTGAAAGTGCCTAGTTCCTTTATTGGCACCCAAAAGATTATTTTTCCTCTCTGACAAATGATATACCACTTAAATTGGAGGATACTTAAGAAAAGAACAATTTAATACCAGTATACCAAATCATTCAAAAAACTTTTTAATTTTTAATTGAGGAAGAAATTATACTCGTAGCTCAGTGAAAGAGTTCTTGCCTAGCAATGGGTAAAGCACTGGGTTCGAGCCTTAGCATCACATAAAAATAAACAAAATAAAGGCATGATGTTCATCCCAACTACAAAATTTTTTTTTAATTAAAAAAAAGAAATTATACTCACTTCTTTTGGAGTATGATTATCAGCAATTCTCTGACCTTCAAAGAGAAACCTGAGTGAATTCATTGGAACTCCCTAAAAAGGTTAAAAAAAAAAAAAAAAGGAAAAAGTATATATATGTACATATACACAAACAAACCTCAGAAGAAATAATACGAACTTTGATCCACAAAAAGCAAGTATGAAAGCCTTAAATAAGCTACAACAGAATTTAAAACTACACAGCTAATTCAATCATAATACCATACACTGAGTACCAACTATCTGCTAGTCTATTCCTATACCAAATACTTTATACACATAATCAAAAATGTTCTTCATATTCATTTTATAACTAGGAAAACTTAAGGCTTGGAGAAAACATAGTCTGCTAGGAACTTTAGCCTAAATCTTCTAAGTCTGTGCTCTTGACCACTATTCTATTCATTTTCCCCTTAAAACCCATGAGCTAGCATAAAACAAAATCAGAAATTAGATGAGATCCTCAACAGCTTCCAACAATACAAGCAAACTTGGTTTTAAATAGATTAAATCATAGGAATTTATCAAGAGCACAACAGCTAGCCAGCCAGATAAGCTAAGAAGAACCTACAATGGCATAGATGGCACTTCAAATATCATAAAACGTATTGATTATATATTTTTTTCTGATCACTTACTGAACAGTAATAGCTAAAAGGGGAGAGGTGTCTCATTTAAAGGGAAGTAACTGAAAGTAAATACAAATCAAGAATCTTTTAGTTAGTTCAAAACTATTACGACAGTTTTGCTCAATATCTAATATTAAGATTTTCACTGTGGGTATTTAAACACTATCCCAAAATACCCAAAGAAATTAAAACTATTTGTTAATATGCACTATTACATAAGTATATGAGACCATGAAAACTTACCTTTCATTTGATTTAAATTCCTTCCAAGGTTATATAAAATAATAAAGTGGGTGACAAAAGCAGAATATTCTTTGATTCACAGAATTTTTTTTTTAATTACCTTATAATAGAATCAAAAAAGTTCCTACAGGGCTTTGGGATTATATATAGCTCAGTGACAGAGTGTGTGCCCAGTAATGTGAAAAGCTCTGTGTTCAACCAACAGCATTTCCCCTCCCCCCAAAAAAAAGTTTCCGTAGAAACCACCAATCTATAAAAGAAAAATGATAAAATAATTCAATAAATAATAAATTTACAGGTTGGACACAGTGGCACATGTCTGTAATCCCAGTGACTCAGGAAGTTGAGGTAAGGGGATTAAAAGTTTGAGACCAGGCTTGGCAACTTAGCAAGACCTTATTTTAAAAAATAAAAAGTACGAGTGGTAGAGCACTGCTGGGTTCAATCCCCAGTGATGCCAAAAAGAAAGAAAAAGAAAAAAGAAGTTTATGACTTTCCACTCACAGGTAAGTGTTGCACAGTTCAGATAAATGCAATTTCCTGTTTCTTGTATATCATTAAGCTAAGGGAAAAATTACCAAGCGTCTATAACTAAGTATAAAAAGTTTTTCTAAAGACTGTAAAGTTACTCTGAAGCTTGGCAAAGATCCTACTAATGTTATAATTTTCTCCCAAAACCTAGCACCTTGAACTTTGGGGTCAATTTTTAGTTTTCACTTAAGCTTTGGTTTACCTCTTTACTTTGCACTGTTTTTCCTCAAAAATCAATTCCCTATAGATGAGGTAAAAGAAACTATATGAATTATCTTCAATTGTTACAAAGATTAAATACATTTTTCTTAGGTACTTATAGTATCATGTACATGATTATTCAATAAATATGAGTAAATTCTACCTCAGTTTTAGCTCACATCAAAATTATTACAAATGTAAATTAGTTGGGACCCAATTAATAAAATTTTACTGAACTTACTAATTAAAAGCTATAACAAGAGATACAATGGTATATATTGTTTTACTGTTTTTATTTTTTTGTAGGGGCAAAGGGATAGTGGGGATTGAACACAGAGCCACATCCCCAGCCCTATTTTCTATTTTATTTAGAGTCAGGGTCTGAGTTGCTTAGAGCACCTTGCCTTTGCTGAGGCTGGTGTTGAACTCAGGATCCTTTTGCCTTAGCCTTCCAAGCTGCTGGGAGTACAGGCATACACCACTGCACCCGGCTGTTTTACTAATCTTAACAACTAGTCTCTGACTTCTGATACAAAAATTCTATCTAAATTAAAAATTTTAATTGTTTAAAGTAAACCTTCTAAAGAAAAACCTACAAGGCGATCCAGGCATTGTGGCACATGCCTGCAATCCCAGCTAAAAGAGGTTGAGGCAGGAGGATCACAAATTCAAGGCCAATCTCAACAATTTAGAGGGACCCTATCTCAAAGTAAAAGTAATAAAAGAAGCTGAGAATGTAGCTTAGTGGTATTGTGCCCGTGGCTTCAATCTTCGGTACTGCCCACACCAAAAAAAAAAAAAAAAAAACCTACAGACTATGTAGCTCAGGGGCACAACGCTTGCCTAGCATGTGCAAAGCCTTGGCTTTAATTCTCAGTATCAGAAAAATACACAAATATTTAAATTAAGAAAGCGCTCTACAGCCAGATGCAGTGGCGCATGCCTGTAATCCCAATAACTTGGGAGGCTGAGGCAGTAGGATCACAAGTGTCAAGCCAGCCTCAGTCAGCATCATAGAAATACCCTATCTCAAAACCAAAAATAAAAAAGGGCTGGGGATGATGTGGTTCAGTGGTAAAGCATGCCTGGGTTCTATTTCTAGTACCTTAAAAAAAAAGCCCTACAATACCTGAATTGATATCATGTAATACAATTAAATATTTTTTAAAATTCAACTTAAGACACTGATTAAACATATTTCTTGTAAATTATTTTAAATCATAACTTCATTTAGAAGTAAAGCTTAGTTATCTCCTATTTAATTTCAACTATATTTACTAAAAACTATTTTACTAACAAGGATAATAATAAATAACATTTATTAAGCATTTTTAGGCATCGTGTTAAGGACTTTTTGTAGGCTATCTCAATTTATCTTTGTGAGGTGTTACTATAATATCCTTTACTAATGAAGGCAAAAGCAGTGGCATAGCCCAAATATGAATCAGGTAGGTTAAAGGAATTAGTTATTGTTCTAATGATGTAATTCATGAAAACCAAAATCCATGAGGATTTGGTATTAATAAATTAAGTAGACTTTCATGCAGATTTTTTATTTGTTTTGTTTGCAGTGCTGGGGTCAAACACAGAACTTCACACATGGTAGGCAAGTGCTCTACCGCTGCGTAACATCCTCAGACCCCAGGTTTTCTTTCTTTTTTTTTTTTTTAAATATTTTTTTAGTCATACATTGACACAATACCTTTGTTTATTTATTTTTATGTGGTGATGAGGATTGAACCCAGGGTCTCTCACGTGTGAGGCGAGCACTCTATCACTGAGCCACAACCCCAGCTCCCCCCCAGGTTTTCTTTTAAAAAGAAAATTCCTTGGTGTTGAAAATATGGATGGAATCAGCAGCATATAGTAATGTTAGTCCTATGTAAAAAGATAATATACTAACAATATTATTACTTAAATTTAACATTTAGCTAAACATTGATGATTAGAAGCACAGAGAAATGTCATAGAAATCACCAAAAATTACTTGCCTTTCTTGTTATATAACTAGTAAGCCATCAAGATAGAAGCATTCACTTGATATATCTTTACAACAGAGTTAAGTTTTCAAACGAGTTGGCATCTTATGAATTCAAACTTTTAAAAATAGGCCACAAGAGGAAAAAGGAAATTAAACAGAGTATGATAAAATTAGAGTGCTTTCCTTGAGTTCCTAAGGTGACAATAATAAAACAGATCATTTTGTCTTTTGACAACCTTTAGTTTAAAAAAAAAAAAAATAGGGCAAACCATTGTAGTCAATACCATAATTTACAAACCTGTCTTTGACAGTATGATTCTTTGAGTTTCTTGAGATGTGTTGTCATTTTCACTTTGAAGTGAATCTCACTGCTATCCTATGAAGATAAAAGAAAAACAATTACCCTCTTTTTATAAACTATTTACTTGTTTGAACCAAATTATTTAATTATACATGTAATATAAATAGAAACATAAACCAATCATCTTTATTTTTTTCCACCAAGATATTCTTCTTAGCATTTCTAAAAGGTTTTATAAAATACTGGAATCATCCTCAAAGGTGTTTTATATCCATTACAAAAGAAACTTAATAAAACAAAGATATCTGTCTTAGGTGTTAAAATGGTCAATCTAAGTATGTACATGGAAGAATGTGTTCCTTCATAAATGCACGTCTATGAATACACAATAAGAACAAAACATAGAAGACAAAAAAAAATTATACCTGACTGATAATTAGGAAAATGGAGAAATAACAAAAATGTTTTACCTATCACACTGACACAAAATTTAAAGATTGATAATCTCCCAAACAAGTGGGGAACTGGTACAATCTGATCAGAAGACTCCACAATGCCACCAATTCTGTCTTTTGTCCTTTAAAGAAGAAAAAGTAACTATGGAGAAACTATGAATATTCATCCTCCAACAGTTTTCAGCTTACCATAACTAACACCTCAGAAAGAATCAATAAGATGCAGACTAGAGTCCAAGGAAATGAGGTGCCGGAAGAGGCCAAAGTGTGGAGGTGGGATTAGGAAAAGGGCTGACAGGTTCTTTTGTTTAAGGGTAGCCCTAGAATTACCATTTAATGATATTCATTGTATTTGCCCCTGAAGCATAAGAGTCAACAGTAAATTTCCATTTGGAGAAATTAAAATATGAGGCGTCCCCCCAAAAGCTCCTGTCTATGTTAGTGCAAGGATACTTGGAGGTTAAATGTTTGGACTGTCAGAGCTGTAATTAATCTAATGGATCCATTCCTAAGGTCACTAGGAGTGTACACTGTAAGGGTTCATCTGCCCTGTGGTCCCAGTCCCTTTATCTCCATTTCCTGGCTGAGATGAGAGGAGAAGTGCTCATCCACCATGCCCTGATGTTCTACCACGATGTTCTGCCTCACCTTGGGCCCAGAGCAATAGAGTCAGTGACCCTGGACTGAACGTCTGAAATGGGAGCCAAAATAAACCTTCTTACTTGTCCTTGTCAAGTGTTTTGTTCACAACAACAAAAAGCTGACTAACACATAAGGTAGTCTAAACCTGCCTAGCAAAATAATTTTAAAATACAGTATCTGCTTCTTCTACCTCCAAAAGATGCATGTACAGTAAATGAAAATGCCATTTTTAAATAAATGTGCCTTACTTAAACCTTTATTTTTCCTGTGAGAGAAATTACATACATGTTGGAAGAGAGAGTCAAAGGAGAAAAATAATGAAACTCACCTGTCCAATTACTTTGAGTTTAATGTATTCTCCTTCTTTCTTATCCCCCAAATCCTCAGTTGAAGGTTTTGCCTCCTGAAAGAAAAGTAAATTTCAAAATAAAAGCTCTTACATGCAATTTCAATTACTCATTTATGAGTATCCATTCCTTGCCCTCAGGGTACAAAATCTATACATGAGCATACAAAGAACATTTATTTTCTCTGCCAGGCAAGCAAAAAGGGTCCTAAGTCAATTATTCTCCCAAACACTGGTTCACTACAAATCAAGCAAGAGGTCTCTTTCTTTGAGTGTATACCACAGTATGGGATATAACTTTACCATGCATCAAAATCATCTGGAGGACTTGTTAAAACAAACAGCTGGGCCCCATCATACTTTCTATTCTGGAGTGGAAATAAGAATGAATATATTTCTAACAAATTACCAGGTCATACTGATTTGCTGGGTAGAGAAACCATTTGGAAACTAGAGGAAGTGAATCCTCGGCAAAATTTTATTTTATTTTTTTTTAGTTTTTTGTGGTCATAGCACATGATAGGCAAGCTCTACTAGTGACCTATATCCTCAATTCATGTATTCTTTCCTATTTTCTTTCTTTCATGTGTATGTGTGTGGTTGTGGGGATGGAGGGGTGGGGACTGGGGGTCAAGCCCAGGCCCTTGAGCATGTTAGGCAAGCTGTATACCACTAAACTACATCCCTATCCCTTTTTATTTTTGGACAGGGTCTTGTTAAATTGCCTGGGCTGCCCTCAAACTTGTATTCCTCCTGCCTCAGTCTTCCAAGTCACTGGCATTACAGCAGTTTGCCACCATGCCAGGTCATCCTCCACAGATCTCCCCACACCTGTTTTAGGAATGGAACCGAACCCAAGAGCACCACACCACTGAGCTACATCCCAACCCTTTTTATTTTGACACAGTAGTCTCACAAAGTTGCTCACACTGGTCTTAAACTTTCAATTTGCCTGCCTCAACCTCCCAAGTAGCTGGAATTACACAAGTGCCACTGTGCCCAGCTTCTTCTCCATGAATTCTGAATTCTCCTCCAAACATTATGAATCCAAGATAATCTTCTCACAGCCTATCCTGAGGTGTTTACTACCAAAGGAAAGTCAAATAGGAAAGTACTAGCCTAATATAGAGCCAAAAAATCAGTTTTATGTCATCTATTAGTTTAAACTATCTGAAGCAGGGGCTGGGGATGTGGCTCAAGCGGTAGCGCGCTCGCCTGGCATGTGTGCAGCCTGGGTTCGATCCTCAGCACCACATACAAACAAAGATGTTGTGTCCGCCGAAAACTAAAAAAATAATAATAATAATAATAATAAATAATAAAATTCTCTCTTAAAAAAATAAAAAATAAACTATCTGAAGCATTATAATACAAGTTTAAAAGAAAAGGTTTGAAGGAAAACAAAATTTAGGAGAACTGAACTGGAACTGGGGGAAAAAAAACCACACAAACAGAATAAGTAGAAAAACAAAAAAAAAGAGACCCATAGGAAGACAAGAACAGAGGATTACAAAATAATTTCACATAAAAGGAAACTGAAAAGAAAATGAAGTTAACAGAATAAATTAGCAAAACAAATTTATCATAATGCATCTCAAAAATAAGTAAGCCAGGCTGGGATTGTGGCTCAATGGAAGAGTGCTTGCCTAGCATGTGTGAGGCACTGGGTTCGATTCTCGGCACCCATATAAATAAATAAAGTCCATTGACAAATTATAAAAAAATAAGTAAATCATTTTTATTAAAGGAGTATCCTATGTGCTATACCTTAGTTAGGCCACCAAATTATCCACTTATTTAATATATACTCTTCTATCATTCATACTAATTTCAAAGAGTTAACCCATACTCGGTAACAATATAACTAACCATATTGTATCCTGCAAGTTAAAAAAAAAATCACAGAATCATTACCTATGTATCTCACGCCAGTAACTTTAACAAATTCCTTAACACTCAAATATTAAGAGAACGTATTAAACTAGGCGTAGATTTTTACTTGAGGTAGTCTAGGGAAATGCTTAGATAACTGAATTGATTCATTAGTATGAATCCTTGCTGGTTTTTCATTAGGCAGTGCTTTCAACATTTGCTGGCTATTAATATTACAGTAGTGATCAATCTTAACCTTCTTTAGAGAGACAGTATTTCACCTGAAACCAGAAGACCGAGTCTTCAAATACCATCTCACCGCATTTCTATGACTTATATTCTTAATAAACAGTTGCTTCTGCCTTTAAGTATCTAGAGGGCAAAGATAGCTTATTATTTATTGCAGTGAAGGGCAATAAAAAGTACCCAAGCCTTGAAGTCCTCTTTAACTGGAAGGAGAGGGGGTGGAAACAGCTTTGTTTAAGTTAACAAAAAGGAGGACAGGGCCCCTCCCCTAGCAGCAATACATCAGCACAATAGGAGTGATTCCGCTCCAGCGTTTCTGGAGGGTAACTAAGAGGTTACTCAGAAGAAAAAGAATTTTTCCCCTCCTCCAATCCACCATCCACAGTACTTCAGAACTCTCCTTCTAAAACACAGCTTCTCTGATTCTATAACTACTAAGATCAAAAGCATAAATGGGGGGCTGGGATTATGGCTCAGTGGTAGAGTGCTCGTCTAGCACTTGAGAGGCCTTGGGTTCGATCCTCAGCATCACATAAAAATAAGTAAATAAAATAAAGGTTTGTGTCCAACTACTTCTAAAAAAATAAATAAATAAAGATGGCTTCCAGTACTTTAAGGTCTGAAAGAACCAAATCCTACAGCACAGCATTCAATATTTCCATTACCAAGTTCAACTCTTATTTTTCCCTCACCATTCATTTATAAACCTAAAGATTCTGATAAATTGGACTAGTTGTCCATCAGCAATATTCAATCTTCCGTCCTTTATGGCCCCAGTTTTTTTTTATTTCGAACACATACATACACACACACACACACACACACCCTCTCTCAGCCTTTCCTGAAATCATCTCAAGAGAGAAAAGTCTACTCTACTCCACACATAAGCTGAAGTTCATCGTAAAAAAATAAAAAACAAAAAAACCCTCTTATAGTCAGGCACAATGGAACACACGGGTAATCTCAATAATTTGGCAGACTAAGGTAGGAGCATCGCAAGTTTGAGGTGAGCCTAGGCAACTAAACTAGATTCTGTCTCAAAATTAAAAAAAAAAAAAAACAATAAAAAGGGATGGGGATATAACTCAGTGTTAAGCGTACAATAACCAGTACCACCCCAAAACAACAACCAAAAAAAAAAACCCTCTTCTAGGAACCATAGCATCCTCCCAACCATTCTCTTCCTTTAATGTTCCTATTTTCAATTTGTTCATATTTTCTACAGTATTTATTCAACTACTCCCCTCTTGACCTGACTTATCTAGTTGTTGTCCTTATCTTTTCTCAATAGTCAAACCTCTCACAAGAGTACTAAGATTTCCTATTCCATTCTCACTCTCAACCTACCGTAATTTGGTTTATGCTTTACCATCCTGCTCAACATTGCCCTTACCAATGGCTACCAGCTAGACACCTTACTTACTGTAAATCCAACACTTTCAAGTCTCATCTTTAACTCTAGAAAACACAGATGCTGGTGACTTCTTCCTTGGAAACTCTGGTTTTCAAGATTCCATTTTCTCATTTCAGCCACTTCCTTTGCATCACTGACCTTCAAACCTCTGCTTTTTTCTTTGCCTCCCTGGGTGACCCATGATTTCAACAATCTCTTAGATACTAATGACTCACAATCATTCTTTCCAACCTGACAACTTTACTGAGTTTGACTCTTTTTTTAATCAAAGTACCTGAACATCTGTTGTTGGATGTCCCTCAGGTACCTTGCCATGAAAGTGTCCAAAACTAAACCTATTATCTCTAACTTCTCTATTAGCTTTAAATCCTCTTTCTAAAAACCAAACTATAGGGCTGAGAGTGTAGGTAGCTCAGTAGCAGAACTCAGGTTTAGTATGTACAAGGCCCCGTGTTTGATGCCCAGCACCAAAAGAAAAAAAATTACAACTCCTCTAGGATTCCCAATTACAATAAGTGGTTACCATACACTCAGCTGCCCATAGAAACTTGCCTATAGAAACCTGGAATCATCCTTGGCTACTCTTCCCCTCTTAAACTTCATACCTCATCATTCTGATAATGCTTGCTGGCTCTTGAGCTCCTCTAATTCTCTCCATTCTACTATAGCCTTAGTTCAGGTATTCACTGATCAATAATGCTACTAGAACAGCATTTACAGACACCCCCAGTCTTGCTCCCTCCAATTAAATCTCCAAACTGCTACAAGAGCCATCTCTCTAAAATGCAATTTGATCTGCTTAAAATCTTCAGGATGAAGCCAGGTGCGGTGGCACACACCTGTAATCCCAGAGGCTCAGACGTCTGAAGCATGAGGATTGCGAGTTCAAAGGCAGCCTTAGCAACTTAGCGAGACCCTAAGCAGCTCAGTGAGACCCTGTCTCTAATAAAATATAAAAAAGGGTTGGGGATGTTGCTCAGTGGTCCTCTGAGTTCAATCCCTAGTACCTCAAAAAAAATTTTTTTTTCAGGATTAAATTCAAACTCCTTTGCTGATATAACACTGTCATTTATGTGCTAGTCCCTTACCTCTCTCTGCTAGTATAGCCTATCCTACAGTCATAATAAACTGTAACAGTTCCTTGAACATGGCATCCTCTCTACCTTATCTCAATTATCTCTGCACATGTTGATCTCCTCTACTTGGAATGTACTTTCTCATGCTACTCCCCTTTCAAGACCACTCAGACATCACTTTCTACAAAAATGATTTCCCCATTACCCTCTTAAATGCTCACATACTGCTTACTTTATCTATTATAACCATGTGTTTGCATATCTAAGATTTGAGTTCCTTATTAGTATGTCCTTTATATTTCTAGTCAAGGATAGAGCCATTACTCTGAAGATATTCAACAAATTAATGTTTTCAAGTGAGGCATAGTGGTGCGTGCCTGTAATCCCAGCAACCCAGAAGGCTCAGACAGGAGAACTGCAATTTCAAGGCTAGTCTAAATAACTTAGCAAGACCTGGTCTCAAAAATAAAAAACAAAGCTGGGCACAAAGGCGCACACATGTAATCCCAAAGACTCAGGATGGTTACTTAGGATGGTCACTTGGGAGGGTTACTTCAGAAGCAGAGGATTACAAATTGAAAATCAACCTTAGCAACTTAGTGAGACCCTAAGCAACTTAGCAAGACTCTTATCTCAAACTAAAAAATAAAAAGGGCTGGGGATGTGGATCAGTGGTAAAGCACCCCAGGTTCAATCCCCAGTACCAAAAACAAATAAATAAAGCCAGGCACAATGGCAAATGCCTATAATCCCAGCAACTCAAGAGGCTGACATAGGAGGATCACAAATTCGAGGTCAGCCTCAACAACTTAGTAAGACCCTGACTCAAAATAAAAATTAAAAGGTCTGGGGATGTAGCTCAATGTAAAGTGCCCATGAGTTCAATCCTCAGTACCAAAATAAATAAATAAATAAATTTAAAAATAAAAAGAGCTAGAGATGTAGCTCAGCACTAAAGCACCCCTAGGTTCAATCCCCAGTATGGGAAAAAATACATAGGTTTTCTATGACAGGTTTATATGCATTGTCTTCTTTACAAATTTACAAACATCTAAGCTATTTCACCTTCATAGTCTCTATAATACCAGGAAATACAAGGCAATTATTGAAATGTTCACTGAATAAAGCTGACAGCACTATTATCGGTTTTACCATAAAACTTTACTCACATCATACTTCTGTATATAATCAACAGTTTAAGCAAAAATATTTTCAGTTTTTTATATTCATGGTTGCAAATAAGAGATAATTTACTTTACTAGGAATGATGGCACAAGTCTATAATCCCAGGAGGCTGAGACAGGAGGATCACAAGTTTGAGGACAGCCTGGGCAACTGAGGAAGCCTGTAGTCTCAAACAAAATTTAAACCAGGCAAAGTAGCACACACCTATAACCCCAGCAAATCAGGAGGCTGAGACAGGAGAATCACAAGTTTGAAGCCAGTCTCAGCATCTTAACAAGACCATATCTCAAGATACAATAAAGAAGAGCTGGGGGTGTTAACTCAGTGGTAGAGTGCCCCTGAACTAAATCCCCAATATCATAAAATCAAAATTTTGGCGCCCACGGTGTCCATGGAGAGAGGTTGAGGTGGCCGAGCTCCGGCCCGAGGCACCCGGGCGCCGGGACAGCAAAGATGTCGGCCTCGTTAGTCCGGGCCACTGTCCGGGCTGTGAGCAAGAGGAAGCTGCAGCCCACCGGAGCCGCCCTCACCCTGGTAGGTGTGAAAGTCGGTGTCCGAACTAGGGGTTGTAATGGCCTTTCTTACACTCTGGAATATACAAAGACAAAGGGAGATTCTGATGAAGAAGTTGTTCAAGATGGAGTCAGAGTGTTTATCGAAAAGAAAGCACAGCTGACACTTTTAGGAACAGAAATGGACTATGTTGAAGACAAATTATCCAGTGAGTTTGTCTTCAATAACCCAAACATCAAAGGAACTTGTGGCTGTGGAGAAAGCTTTAATATTTGAAACCTCAGGACTCCTCTGGCTGTAAACTCCAGGAAAGCTTGCTGAAACCTTGGAGCTTGCTGAAGAAATCATGTCACTGTCACTTGCCTAAGGTTTATAATATGTGGCCACCTTGTGAGGAAAATAAAGTGATGCATTTTGAAAATGGAAGCCAGTATGTTAGATTCCAGAACACATGATATTTGTATTCTCTATATGGGGCAGAAAATGAGAAGCCATTGCTCTTTTTGGATCATTGTTATGTAAAGAAAAAAATCCTACCCTACACTTAATTCTCATATTCCTTTCTGTTAGAACCAGTTTCAATAATACTGCCTCCCTGACAGTAATTCACAAAACAGGTTAATAGGTATGTGCTTGCTAAATTTGTATCAAATGGCTTAAATGTGCATCTCATGGGCATTTTCCCAACCAGATTAGTGGTTCCCAAAACTCAGAGGTGAGAAGTCCTTGACTACTGATAGTAACATGGCAGTGCATTGTTTTTCTACCCAAATTGGCATGACCTCTTTTTTTACATTTTTATCAAAATTGTCAAATGCCTCATTTGTGTACCCTTCAACAGTACTAGGAAAAAGACTTCCTTAAAGTGTAGTGCAGAATAGTTCCAAGTGATGAGAGAAAAAAGTGAGGAATATTTTATCCACCTGTTTTACGACTTTTTTTTTTTCCATCCTAAGAGTCTGCTCAAAGCCTACTTAGATCCTTTTAGTTGGAAGGTCTCTTAAAAACCATCTAACCCATTCCCCTCAATTCTATACAGGAAGAAACAAACTCCAGGGAAGCTGAAGGCCATTTTTCCACATTGCTCTGCAACTAGGAGACAGCTTGGGCCCTACCCCATCACCTCATCCTCATAGGGAACACTTGTGCTCAGCTTTCCAAGACAGTGAAGGGAAATGATAGTGTGGCTTAATCTGGTCAACATTTGGATAGAGTTTCCTTTATAAGTTGATGAGCTCCTATTGTATTTTATTTTGAGAGAGGGGACAAATATTATTTTCAGTCTTTTTTATGTGTATCACCATCTTGTTTCTTTAAAACTTAGAAACAGTGGTCTACACTAGTAGAGAATATATTACAGCAGCCCAGCCCACTCCATTCTTTCAAGGTATAATAGTGATTATAAAGCAGAACATGGGGGTCTTTACTTAAAATTCTCATTATGTGTACACTTTCGGGTTCCTAGGTCCAATTGCTAAAATTTTTAAACAATATTACAACATTTTGATCACCAACTTTTCTTTTAAAGTAGCCCTTTTTTCACTTAGTCTACTGATTTCCCTGGGTTTGACATATTAAATATTCTCTAAGATGATATACTTTTTTTGAAAGCTGATTCTCATGAATTAAAGTAGCTGAGCTCCAAAAAATAAATAAATAAAATCAAAATTTTAAAAATTTAAAGAACTTGGGAAAAAGGACTGGGGATATAGCTCAGTGGGAGAGCACCCCTGGGTTCAATCCCCAGTACCAAAATAAACAAATAAATAAAGGGCTGAGGATGTGGCTCTGAGGTAAAGAATGGAACTACCATACACAAGGCAAGGCCCTGTGTTTGATCCCCAGTATGAGAGAATGGGGGTGGGGGGGCAGACAGACAATGACTTCACTTCAATTTCATAAGAAAGTGTCAACATTAGGATTTGAAATTTCCAAAAATCAACTGCCATCTTCCCTAGGCACTCCATTTTGGTGATGTCTTCCCAATGTTGAATCACTATAGTAACAGATATTATCTATACCATTTGTTTTACAGTAGCCATGCTTGTTTAATAGTCATCAGTTTTTTTGTGTGCTATTTGTCTTTTATTTGTTTGTTTGTTTATTTTTTGTGTGGTGCTGAGGATCGAACCCAGTGCCAGTGCCTTACACATGCTAAGCAAGCACTCTACCACTGATCCAAAACCCTAGCCCGTTTTATCTTTTCCTTTAACAAACGAGCCTGGAAAATGAGAAGATCTTGGACAAAAAAAGCTAAAGTTTGTCTTCAGTGATCTCAGTCAGTGTCGTTTGTATGCTTTCTTTCAAAGAAAGAAAGAAAAAAGAAGAAAGGAAGAGAGAAAGAAAGAAAGAAAGAGAGAAAGAAAGAAAGAAAGAAAGAAAGTCAGTCAATACAGAATAATAGTATGTCACAATGGTTACAAAACAGTGAAAGTATTCAGCTCTGGGTCGGGGACACTTGATCATCAAAGAAAAGAGAATTCCAGAGAGGGCTGGTTGATTCAGCTGGAAATGATACACACAGCCCCAGAGCAGAAGAAACTAGGGATGGAACAAAAAATAAGTGTATGTGCTAAAACCCGTAATCTTTCAGGTCTGGGTCATTCAGAGATTGACCCCTGATAACTGCAGTGGTAAAGGAATTTACTAAGTACTGTGCACTATCAACCCTACTTTCTAAGTTACAGATCAAACAGCTTGCAAATAGATGTCTGGGTCTGGAAAGAGGGCTAGACTGGAATAGATATGAAAAATAACAGTTCTCATTTACAAAAGTAAAAAAAAAAATCATAAAAAGTAATGTATTATGCCATTTCAAAGTCAAAACAAGATCTGTGCAAAGATGCACTCTGGCAATCAGTTCCTTGGCAATTCAGTCACATGGACATATCATCAAACTTAACAGTCAAAGACTGTTCATTGTTATTGAAAGAGGAGAAATTCTGCAGAAACCCCAAAACAAATTCAAAATTAATTTTCTCTTATTTGGTGATATTAGCATGTTAATTTTTAAAGATATAACAACAGTATTATGGTTATGTTAAAAGAAAAAGTCCTCTTTCAGAGATACATACTGAATATTTACAAACAAAATGATACAATGTCTGGGACTGGCTTCCAAATAACATGAAGGAGTGGGGTCCCACAGATTAAATAAAATAGGCCATGGGAAGGGTACATAGATTTCACTACATATACACTAACAATTTTATAAAATTTTTCATTAAAAATGCATTCAAGGGGCTGGGGCTGTAGCTCAGTGGCAGAGCACTTGCTTAGCATGTGTGAGGCACTGGGTATTCCATCCTCAGCACCACATAAAAGTAAACAAACAAAATAAAGGTGTTGTGTCCATCTACAACCAAAAAAAAAAAAAAATTTTTTAAATGCACTCAAAAGTGGGTGTGTGATGCCATATGCCTGTAATTCCAGCAACTCAAGATACTCAGGCAGGAGGATCACTCTGGTCTCAAAAAATAAAAGGACTAGGGATGTAGCTCAGGGATAAAGTACCCCCTCCTGGGTTTCATCCCCAGTACCCCAGTACCACCACCAAAAAAAAAAAAAAAAGAGGGCATTCAAAGTTTCAAAAAAAAAAATCTGTATGCATCAATTTATTTCACTTTATTTCCTAATAAAGAAAGCTTGACAAGGGTTAAACTATATAATCCTAATACTTACATCAATTATTAAAAGGTAAAAACTCAGAATTACAAGAAGCCACTTTCCTCATAATTCAACAAATTTACCAGAATTCCAAAAACACAAAAAAACACATATACTTTCATCTTCAAACATAAAATAGTACTGGAGATCTGGAATAGAACTGACCAGATTTAACTCTAAAACTTCAAGATTTAAGTCAAAGTCATCAAGACACTGGGCCTTCTGAATATTTACACTCAACCTTGAATTGTGATAAAAACTAAACAGGCACAAATTATCAGTAACTAAAAATTATAACTGAAAATTTTGCTGGTTTTGTAGACTACGGACCTAGGCAAAACCTGGAACAAACTAGGTTGTTTGTATCCAAAATTAGAAAACATCTTCTTTCCCATTCCTACTTACCAGGAGAAACCTAAATTTGCCCAGCTTTTTTTAAAAAAAGAAATTTTCTGTGCTGGGGTTGTGGCTCAGCAATAGAACGATCACCTAGCATCTGCAAGGCCCTGGGTTTGATCCGCAGCACCACATAAAAATAAAGAAAATAAAAGTATTGTATCCAACTACAACCAAAAAAAGAAATATCTTAAGGATATACATATATATTTCCTAGCTTTTTAAAAAATATTTTTTCAGTTGTAGTTGGACACAATATCTTTATTTATTTTTATGTGGTTCTAAGGACCGAACCCAGTGTCTCACATGTGTAAGGCAGGCGGGTGCTCTACCAATGAGCTACAAGCCCTAGCCCTTTCCTTTTTTCCTTTGAGTTGCTGTCGATCAAAACCCAGAGACTACTAGCCCTTTTCATTTTCTACTTTGAGACAGGTCTCACTAAGTTGTCCAGGCTAGGCTCACACTTGCAATCCTCCTGTCTCAACTTGGAGTAGTGGGGATTATAGACATGTACCATCAGAGTTGGCTCTTATTCCCAGCTTCTTTTATGGCCCTGCAACATAGTGCTGGTCAGAGACACAACATATTTTTCTTTCCCTTTGTTCTCCTTCTTTTTCTCCTGCCTAAAACATAAAGTAATTTTTTTGTTTGTTTGTTTGACCCACAAGGCAAAAAGCATGAAAGTGAATCATAAATTAAGCATGGAGGAGAAATGAGCAGGAAAGCATTGTGGAACTACCTCATTAACCCTTGAGCTAATTATGTCTAGACTTCTTGTTTGCTAAGAAAAATTAACAGCATACGTTCAACCCAGTATGTATCAGACTTTCTGTTATTCAGTCGAAAAGCAATCTTAATTGACACAGAAGGTATTATAAACAGGTTTCACTTGACCCAAGTGAAAACCAGGCACAGGAGTGCATGCCTATAATCCCAGCAGCTGGAGAGGCAGAGATAGGAGGATCACAAATTCAAAGCCAGCCTCAGCAACTTTAGCAAAGCTCTAAGCAACTTAGCAAAACCCTGACTCTAAATTAAATATTTAAAAAAAAAAAAAAAAAATGAAGATGTGGCTCAGTGGTTAAGTGCCCCTGGGTTCAATCCCTGGTCCAAAAAAAAAAAAAAAAAAAAAAGGCCAGATCCTAGAAAACTACTTAAACGTGCTTCAAAAGCAGAATGGATAAATAAGTGGTAGTCACACAATGCAATGCAATACAGCAACAAGATTTAATAACACTCAACTACACAAAATGTTAATGGACAAATCTCTAAACAATATTGAACAAAAGAAGCTAGACCCAGAAGTACATCCTGTATGTATACATTTATAAAATGTTATAAGTACAAAAACAGACAAAATTAAT